TGCAGTGAGCCAAGATCCGGCCACTGCACTCCAGCCTGGGCGACAGAGCGAGACTCCGTCTCAAAAAAAAAAAAAAAAATACAGATAAGGTCTCACTATGTTGCCTAGGCTGGTCTTGAACTCCTGAACTCAAGTGAGCCTCCCAAAGTGCTAGGATTATAGCCATGAGCCACCATGCCTGGACTGGGCTAATTTTTTTTTTTTTTAGAGATGGGGATCTTGCTATGTTGCCCAGGCTGGCTTCGAACTCCTGGCCTCAATCTTCCTGCCCTGGCTCCCTGAAGCACTGAGATTACAGGCATGAGCCACCGCACCTGGCCCACCCTTTTAGAAGTAGTCGGGGCAATGTACAAAGCACACAGCAGTCCATGGTGGCCCCCCATTCCCCCAGGCTTACTACCCCCTCTTGTTGCAGAGCCCAAAGTCCAGCTCCTCATTCCCCCATCCCTCTTCTAACTGGGGACCCAGGACCCCTGCACTGCCCTCTTCTTACCACCCATATCCCGATCACCTGTACTGTTAGCTTTCAGGTTCTTATTGGTTCGTCCACTAAGGATGGGCCATGAGGGCAGGGGCCTTTTCTGCCCTTCAGGGCGGAATTCCCAGTACCAGGCACTCAGTAGGTGTTCCATAAATGTTTGTTGAATGACTAAAAGCCCACCCCAAGGAGCAAATAAAAATCTCTCAAGTTTCACACACTTCCCAGGGCCTGCTCAGTGCCTTGCTCTGGAAACAGAGCTTGGTGAGCTTCCTGGAGAAGGTCTCTGCCTAGGGCACCTTCAGCTCAGGTGGTGGGGGGCATCATTCCTTAGGGCTGAGCCGGGCTGGGGTGGGAGCCCCCGCCCTCACCACTGCTCCTGCCCCCACCCCCGCGGCTCCGTCTGTGTGCAGTGCTGATCCTGGTCGGCGTGGGACTGGAGGCGACCCCCTCTCCAGGTGAGCGACCCTCCCGCCCCACAGGCAGAGGACCCCCCTGTCTTGTGTCCACGGGTCCACGGCAAGCCCTCCCACCTCCCGGCAGTACACGGCCACTTTTCAGCTGGGAGAGGCTTGCCCGGGCAGTCAGCGGCAGCCCGGAAGGCCTCGCAGCCCCTGCCCCCTTGCCCTGACCGGGCTGTGGTCCCTCCCGCAGGTGTCTCCAGCGCCATCTTCTTCGTGCCGGGCTTCCTGTTGTTGGTGCCTGGAGGTGGGAGCGGGCACCGGGGCGGAAAGGGCGGGGCCGCGAGGAGAGGAGGGGAGGGGCTGCGGAGCGGGACTGAGGGCGGGGTCGTGGGGAGGGGAGGGGCCTCTGCGCTGACGGGCCCTGCCCCACAGTCTATCACGTGATCTTCATCTACTGCGCGGTCAAGGGCCACCGGGGCTTCCAGTTCTTCTACCTGCCCTACTTCGAGAAGTGACCGCGGCGCAGCGTGGACTCCTTGCATCCACGTGGGCGTCTCTCTGACCCACGCCCTGTTCCGTTCCCCTCATCTCAAGGGAAGAGGCCCTCCAGGGCCCTCGAAACCCCAGCCCCTAGGGAGTTTGCTCAGGAAGTTTGGGGAATGCAGGCCTGGCCCTGGGAAAGCCGCCCCTCGCCTGCTCTGTGCCTTAACTTATTCTCGGGCCATGCGGCTGCTAGGTTGCTATTATTTTGTGCTAATAAAAGAGTAGTTAATTCCACCAGAGGCAATTGCTCTCCTCTTGCCCTGCCACCACTAGCCCAGCCCACCAGCCTGACCACAGCCCCCCTCCCAAGGACTGACCCTGAGGCTGAAGGGCTTCGAGTACCACCAAACACGTGGCAGCCCTGATGCTGAGGCTTGCCCAAAGGTACGGGGCGTGTTGGGGGCAAAGCTGGCCGTAGAAAGCCTGCCTTGCCAGCCAGGAGGCAGCCAGAACAGCCTGCCCCACCCCCAGCCCTTGGATGACTCAACCAGCCCGTCTCTGTCTGGTGGCCCTGGCCAAAAGCACTCAGAGATGACGCAGGCCTGGGGCCTGGAGGCTGGTATCCTAGTTCCAGCCTGGCTCTGGGGCCCTGGGCTGCCACAGCCAGCCCTGAATGTGGGCCATGCCAAGGCAGCGGCCCAGCCCCCTCCACCCACTGCCTTCCTTCCCAGTCCCAGAGGTTGGGAGAACCTGGGGCCAGAGGGCATAGGAAGCCGTGCCTGACGGACACCCTCAGTGATCAAAGACTTGGAAATGCAGAATGTTAGAAACAAACCATCTCAGAATTTTGGAAAATCAGAGCATTTCAGAATCTTAGGAACCAAGAAACAGAATCTTTGAGAAGCCTGAAATCTGAGATCATAGTCGCTACCAGTTATCAAGTTGTTAAAAGGCACCAGGATGGCCGGTCGCAGTGACTCAAGCCTGTAATCCTAGCACTTTGAGAGGCCAAGGTCAGAGGATCGCTTGAGCCCATGAGTTCGAGACCAACCTGGATAACATGGTGAGACCCCATCTCTATTTAAAAAAAAAAAAAAAAAGCATTAGGCCCTGCGCTAAGCAGTGAACACGGGTTATATCTCGTCATTTTCATTACCTCAGTCCCATTTTACAGATGAGGACTGACTCGCCCAAGGACAGCCAGCAGGTGGTAGGTAGAATTAGAAACATAACCCAGGGCTCCAGCTCCCTGGCCCAGGGCTCTTCCCATGACACTGTGGGGGAGGGAGAAGGAAACCAGCACTGAGCTGGTCTCCCCTACCAGCCAACCAAGAGGCTGGCTGAGTGAGCAAGAGTTGGGAGGCCCTGTTGGTGCACCTGCCCGCACAGTCTGTCTCCCCCACCGAAACATGGGTCCCACGAACCACTGCAGCACCCAACACAGCGGGGCCTTCAGGGCTCTGAGTTAGATGAATGGACACCCAGACTCCTGCTGTCACTCCCACCTTTCCAGGCCCCACAGACTTCCCACCCTCAACCCCCATTCAAGGCACTTTGGGGGTACCCATTGGATGCAGGAACTCCTAAACCAGTGGTCTTCCAACTAGCTGTGGTAAAGGACCAGTTTTTATTTCTAATCCGTCATGGTCCGGTACTTTCATAAGAAGAACTAGCCGGGTGTGATGCCTCATGCCTGTAATCCCAGCACTTTGAGAGGCCAAGGTGGGAGGATCACTTGAGCCCAGGAGTTCGAGACCAACCTGGGAAACATGGCAAAACCCCATCTCTACAAAAAATACAAAAATTAGCCAGGCATGGTTGGGCGCCCATAGTCCCAGCTACTTGGGGAGCTGGGGTGGAAGGATCACTGAGCCTGGGAGGCTGCAGTGAGCCATGATTGCACCCCTGTACTCCAGCCTGGAAGACAGAGTGAGATCTATCTCAAAAAAAAATAATAACAAGGGCCGGGCGCGGTGGCTCAAGCCTGTAATCCCAGCACTTTGGGAGGCCGAGGCGGGTGGATCACGAGGTCAGGAGATCGAGA